CCCCCCCGCCCTCTCCCCTCCCCCACTTTTTTTTTTTTTGCAAACTGCAGAGCGTAAGGCTCCAGATCCGTGGCCACGTTTGCCCTTCGCTACTCAGCTGGGCTCTTGCCTCGTTTCGGTCCTCTGGGAATGTGGGCATTCGGCCGTGGCCTGCAAGAGGAGGAGGAGGAGGAGGAGGAGGGCTCAGCTGCTGCAGAACAAACCTGGTTTGGTGTTAGGGGGAAAAACCCCTTGACATTGCAACATTAGCTTTCAGCTCGTGCAGGTAGCCTTCGACTTAAGAACACCTGTTCGCTGACTGTTTAAAATTACAACGGCCCTGAAAAAAAAATGGCTGACAGACCGGTCCTCACCCTTACGACCGCCACAAGAGTGTCCCCCCACCGTCATGTATTTGCCATCTGTGAACCTCCCAGCTGGCTGCCAACAGGCAGGCTCCAAGGTAGCAGGTTGTGGTCCAAGGATGCCTTGGTTAAACCAGGGTGATCTGCCGCAAAGAAGGTGGTAAAATCTTGTGCAATCTTTTTTTCCAGTCTCTCTTTGTGGTTGTAAGTCAAGGTCCGCCTGTCGGAACCAATGAGGTGCTACAGCAAGGGCCTTCAAACTTGGCAAGTTTAAGACTTGTGGACTTCCACTCCCAGAATTCCTGAGCTAACATGACTGGAGGAGGAAGAATTCTGGGAGTGGAAGTCCACAAGTTTTAAAGCTGTCAAGTTTGAAGACCCCTCACCTACCTGTCTGTCTATCTATCTATCCATCCATCCATCCATCCATCCATCCTCTAATCCATCCTCTATCATCTATCTATCATCTATCTATCATCTATCATCTATCTCTACCTACCTACCTACCTACCTATCATCTCTCTCTCTCCGTACCTACCTACCTATTTACCTATCTATGTATGTATCATCTATCATCTCTCTCTCTCTCTCTCTCCATACTACCTATTTACCTATATATCAATCTATCATCTGTCACAAGGGTCTTCAAACTTGGCAAGTTTAAGACTTATGGACGTCAACTTCCAGAATTCCTGAGCAAACATGAAGAGGAATTCTGGGAGTGGAAGTCCACAAGTCTTAAAGTGGTCAGGTTCGAAGACCCCTGTGCTACAGGCTGTGCTACACTATTGAACTCAAAAGTTCCACTGCTATGAAAGGCAGTTGTGTTTGCGCCCACCAAACAACCCTTTTTCGGCACAGTTATTAAGCAAATCCTGTGACCATTAAACCAACCCAGTTTCCTCCCTTGGCTTCGCTGGCTGGGAAGATCGCAGACGGTGATCACGTGACCCCTGGGCAGCACAATCGTTTGTAAACCAATGGCAGTTGCCGAGTGCCCCCCTTTTGATCACGTGACTGTGGGGGGGATGCTGCGACGGTCACACGAGGACCGGTCCTATGTTTTCTGAGTGTCGTAACTTCGAATGGCGATTAGTTGAGGACTACCTGTACTGAAATTGAAAGCACAGCGGGAAGGAACTCTGTGTTCTGACCGAGGCTTTCTGAGACCGTAATTAAGCACACACTAGTTAAAACAACTCTTGTTTTATTTTAATGCTGGGAATTATGTGC